ATATTATTTTGTTATTTACCAGCATTTAACAAAGAGATGACTGATAGTCTTAGTTCAAAAGTAAAAACTGACATGGATGTTTAAAGATGTAAAAGGAAAAAAATTGTATAGGTCCTCTGGACGGGTTCTTCTTTAATGAAACGTTTCGTCTCTCTTCCAAGAGACTTCTTCAGTCTGAGAGTTTGAATTTGAAGCCTGAATTTTGCCTGAAACTCTCAGACTGAAGAAGTCTCTTGGAAGAGAGACGAAACGTTTCATTAAAGAAGAACCCGTCCAGAGGACCTATACAATTTTTTTCCTTTTAACAAAACAGATTGTACCACACACACCATGCGTCCAACCTGTCGACACAATCTGCGTGCACTGATTGCAGAAACTGAGACCACAGATTAGTAATCCGTGGTGTGTGTGGTACAATCTGTTTTGTTAAAAGGAAAAAAATTGTATAGGTCCTCTGGACGGGTTCTTCTTTAATGAAACGTTTCGTCTCTCTTCCAAGAGACTTCTTCAGTCTGAGAGTTTCAGGCAAAATTCAGGCTTCAAATTGAAACTCTCAGACTGAAGAAGTCTCTTGGAAGAGAGACGAAACGTTTCATTAAAGAAGAACCCGTCCAGAGGACCTATACTATTTTTTTCCTTTTAACAAAACAGATTACACCACGGATTACTAATCTGTGCTCTCAGTTTCTGCAATCAGTGCGCGCAGATTGTGTCGACAGGTTGGACGCATGGTGTGTGTGGTACAATGTTTTGTTGTATCCGGTTTTATTGTGAAAGGCTAAACAGGAAGTGAATACTGTGAGTGCGGGGACAACTTGTTGTTTAGGGGTTAGTTGTCGCTCGAATCCTTGTCTCAGAACACAACCGTATGAAGCCGCATCTTCAAGGTAAATTCAGTGGATCTGTTGTTATATAAACTTAAGTCACTGTCGTGTTCTCATCAACACACTTTTTAGCCACAGAATGTTCCTGAAAAATTCATCAAAATCCGATGTGGTTATTTATTTATTTTCATATTTTCCAGGCAAATGAATCCTGAAATGGAGGTTAGCCTCCTCCATCCTCCTGTCCCCCGTTTTGTTGTGAAAGAGAATAAATATCTGAGAACCGCTGGAGAAAACCTCAGAGTGGCTTGCTGTCGAGAAATGACCCCGTGTGGCGAGCTTCATCTGCAGAATGACAATCATGGGAGCCGCGGCCCCGCTCTTACTCTGAAATGTTTCAAACTTTATTCAGATGTTTCTGAAAGAGTAATAAACATTTCCTAAAAGTTCAACATAAATCGATTCAGTACTTTTGTGATATAACCCTGAGAAGGCAGCTGGCTAACTTTAGCAAAACTGTAAACATCCTGTGATGATCCGATCAGAGCTGAAACAGCCTTTAGGAGACCCAATACAAAAACTACAGCAGCATCCGTATCTGTGTGTAGACCAAATCATGTCAGGCACTGTACTAGCCTAGCATAATACCGCCACTTCCTGGACATAGAACTATCACGTTTTAACAAGATACAAATAACGTGATAGCAACACACTTCCGTAGACCAGTTGTTGTATCTTGCATTTCAAAATAGTTCTCTCCAGGAGGAAGTTTGCACAGTGCCTCTGCCAATCAGTGGGGATGGGGCTGTTCAAGAAAAAACTGTCCAGATTTAAATTTTCAACAAAACAACTTGAATGTGTAGGTATAAAACTTTGGTGTTCTCTTACTCACTGTTGGTCTCCATGCTCTCACATAGTTCAGTCTTAACTTCTCCATTTGGTCGGTCTCCTTTCTGAGTCAGCTTTCCTGACATGGTGGCTGCTGTCACAATTGCCTGTGAAATGAAGCATTCGGTGACTTAATTTTGTGCGTAATATTTCCTGTGCTTTAAAGGGGAGAAGATCATGATTCAAAGACCCAGTTCTTCTGCAGATACTTCGGAGAACTTCCTGCCTCAACATCACCCATAAATGAAGAGGATTCCAG